CAGCCCAGAGTTCGACGACGCTGCCTCCAGTCCAATGGTCGTCGCCACCGCCTCCAGTCCCGTGGTCGACGCCGTCTCCAGTCCCGTGGTCGACGCCATCTCCAGTCCCGTGGTCGACGTCTTCTTCAGTCCCGTGGTCGACTCTGTCTCCAGCCCAGAGGCCGAGGACGCCGCCTCCAGCCCAGAGGCCAACGATGCCGCCTCCAGCCCAGAGGTCGACGATGCTGCCTCCAGCCCAGAGGCCGAAGCTGCCGCCTCCATCCCAGAGGCCAACGACGCCGCCTCCAGTCCCGTGGTCGCCTCCAGTCCCGTGGTCGACGCCGTCTCCAGTCCCGTGGTCGACACCTTCTCCAGTCCTGTGGTCGATGCCGTCTCCAGCCCAGAGGCCGAGGATGCCGCCTCCAGCCCAGAGGCCGACGACGGCGCCTCCAGCCCAGAGGTCGACGACGCCGCCTCCAGCCCAGAGGCCGACGACGCCGCCTCCAGCCCAGAGATCGACACTGCCGCCTCCAGCCCAGAGGTCGACGCCGCCGCCTCCAGTCCAGAGGTTGTCGCCACCGCCTCCAGTCCCGTGGTCGACGCCGTCTCCAGCCCAGAGGCCGACGCCTCCAGCCCAGAGGCCGACGATGTCGCCTCCAGCCCAGAGGCCGACGACGTCGCCTCCAGCCCAGAGGCCGACGCCGACGACTCCAGCCCAGAGGTCGACGCCGACGCCTCCAGCCCAGAGGTCGACGCCGCCGCCTCCAGCCCAGAGGTCGACGCCGCCGCCTCCAGTCCAGAGGTCGTCGCCGCTGCCTCCAGTCCAGAAGCAGACAACGCCGCCTCCAGCCCAGAGGTTGTCGCCGCCGCCTCCAGTCCAGAAGCCAAGGACGTCTCCTCCGGCGTCTCTGCCTCCGGTCACCGCCGGTCCTGCCCTCATCAGGCGCGGGCCCCCAAGAGCCGTCGGCGTCCCCTCCTCTGCCACAGACGCAGGCCCCCAAGAGCCCATCCTCGTCTCCTCCTCTGCCCCAGACGCAGGCCCCCAAGAGCTCGTCGTCATTTCCTCCTCTGCCCCAGACGCAGGTCCCCGGACTTTACTGGTTCCTGCCTCCTCTCCACCGGTCCCTCGGTTCCTCTTGGCCCTCCTTTCTGGTCCCCCTCCTCCCGCCCTGCTCTGTGTTCCTGTGTGCTCTGTGTTCCTGTGTGCCTCTCATTTTCCAATCACCCAAGCTCCCAGCTCTCATGTATTTAAACCCCTTCAGTCCTGTGTCTCTTGTTGGTTCATTGTTTCTATGTCCCGCGTGCTTGATATTAAACCTAATGTAAAACCGTTCCTACCTGTCTGCCTGCCTTCCTCACCCGCGTGTGGATCCTCACCTCATCTCCGCTTCGCTCACCGGCACGTGTGTGACAGGTGTCTCTTTCTATGAGAAGCTAATGCAGGAGGTAGGTGTAGGAAACTATGTTAATGTTCAACCTGCATGAAAAACTCAGAATAACCAATTATGATCAGAATCAAGAATTGAAAAATGTTTTTTCATTAAAGTGACAATGTGTAGTTTTTATCGTTATCTCTGGAAATATCCATCAAAATGTTGTTGAAAATCAATTAAATGATGCCCAGTTGTTGAAAAATATGGCAGCTTGGTAACATATAACCATAAAAAGCAGGTCTAAAATACAATGGGAGCGGGTCTAAGTCTCTGGGCGACGCCATGTTAGATGTCATGTTTTCTTCTACGGGAGGCCTTGAGGGCAAAACACATTTACTGATTTGTAACAAATGGTTTCAAAACTTTCGCCATTGATAAATGTTGTTTTACACATTTACCTCTTCACTCGTTGGCAGTGATGAAAGGGAGTCTGGTGTGCTTGTCATTTAGCTGAAGTTTGCACTCCCAGGACCTTTTTGACCCTAATGCATCCAACACAAAACTACTGCTTGCTTGCAACGATTTAGGCATCTACTGCCCCTTATCGCCAGGAAAAATACACACTTTAAAACAAAATACCCTGGGTCAACATGAAACTGAAGGCAATGTAGCGGTGGAGGTTCTTTTCCTCATCCTTTTACAGTTTGTGTGTTTTTTCCACTAATCACATCATTAAAGAGGTTCTGCTTAGAGCTGCCTTTAGAGTCACTGTCTGAATCACAAAATAAACACTGTCTGCAGTTTTAATCCCACCAACTGGTGTGGAGGGATCCAGGTCCTGTGTGAGTTTTCTTTAAATATTCATCTATAATATTACATACGTGCATTTATTAAGACATAAATTTATCGAATGTTTCCTCATCACTAATTTATGCTTTGCTCCTTCTCCCTTCCATCCGCACCCTTACATCTTTATTAGTGTTGCCCTTTTGTTTCCTCCACACAGACAAATCTCTGGGACTTGTTTGCAGGAGTTGGCTGAGCGAACAGCAGACAACTTTTGCTCTGGGGTTATTGAAAACAGACATTTGTGTTGCCTCAACAAAAAATAAAATAAAATAAAGAAGACAAAAAGAAAAACAGAAAGCTACAGCATTATATCCCGGAGCAGCCTTTTATCTGACAAAGACCATTCACAGCACTCCATGTCCATTCCATTGCTTTGACTACAGAGACACAAACAAGCATGCTGACATGCACCGCAACACAGCCGCAGAGTGTGCTAACAGCTACCTCATGCCAAATGCATGAAATTTAGCTGTTCTATGTCACATTCTTTCCCTTCGAGTGGATCTAAATTGCTTTTCAAGTTATTGCAAAAATGTAGATGTTGAGCTCAACATCTCATGTCTATTATCTGCTTTAATGTCTTCTGTCAATCCATTGTAATGCTGGTATGAGTGGAATAATCAAATGCAGAGCTCGGCTGTGGCAGAACAATGGACACCTCATATTTTATCTGACATTAGATTAAAATGACAGCACAGATTCAACAGTTCGGTTCGGTTAAATGTCTGCTGCCTCATCTTGCCTCTTTCTCACCTCCTCTTCTCTCTTTTCTTTGAGGAGAGGTGTGAATGCAGGAAAAGGAGCCGATGAAGAGATAGAGGATGTATAATGTGACAAAAGAGACTAGAGAAAAAAACCTTTCAGATTTATTAAAAACTAAAAAAAAGAGTGGAGGGAACTATAGATGCCATACAGAGCCATTTAACAAGATTTACTGAGCGCATGGCAGCCATTATTTTTTTTAAATTTGTGCTATTGTTTGTTTACATTCTTGTATGAAATATTTGTCCGTGACACATCTTTTCAGCTGACATTACACCGGCTGCAAAACAGTGAAAGTGGCTTTGGTAAATGCCTATTATGAAGTAAATTTACTGACTTTTGTATAAACATGATCCTCTAACTCAGGTCCTCTGATCTTTATTTGTTCATTTTTGTCAAATTGATTTCATTTCCAAACCTTTTAGAAACTGCTTGGATGTCTTGCATTAAGTTCTGCAAATACTGTCCTAATATATTTGATTTTCAGGGCCTATTATTCCCTCTATGAGCAAAATTCAGAAAGATTTACAAAAATTAACTTAAGAAGGGAATTGACAGTAAAACCTTACAGTTTGATCCAACAAATCTGGTATTTAGTCAATTTGAATGTTTTGTATTCTTTATGATCTCATCATCATCAAATAGAAAATTTATAAAAGCCTAATTTTATGTACATAATATAAGTATAAGGAGACTTTTAGATGTAAGTGCATTTATTTATTGAAAACAGATAATCTATTTAAGAAAACAGTAAATAAACAATGATCAATCTTTGAAAGCCTGACACAAGAAATATAACTAGTTTTTAAAGCATAAATATTATTTCATCTTAATGGAAAACAAATATAATACTTATTTTGTTTTATTCTATATTTTGTTTTAACTGTTTCATCTAATTCTGAAAAATTTAAAGGAGAGAAAAGTGGTTAAAGGGGACAAATTATGTTTTTTTTTTCTTAAATTACAATAGTTCTGTGATCAATAGCAAAAATGTTCATGAGGTCTTTTGTCCTAAATCCCTCTAAGTGGTTTCAGCAGTTTAATTGTTGATGTTTTCATTACCTTCATGGTGTTTTAGGGCTCTGTCACTTTAATAAAAAAAGCTGGAGTTGGCCACGCCCACCCATCCTCTGCTCAGGCTGCTATAAGCTGAGAAGCTCAGATATCCTGGAGATGGTCTGGAGTAGAGCTGCTGCTTCATCAGCACCAGATCATTATTACACATTACAGGTGGTTTTATTCTTGTTTCCCTGTTTGTGACATCACAAATAAGGACTTTTTGCAAATGATTCCTAAAACCAAACACCGGCAGAAAATGAATGGCCATTTTTTTCATGTTTGGAGTGTTTATGGAGGCAGTTCAGACCCACATGAGGCGTGTTTCCACTGTCGAAACTTCAGGGTAATTTTACAAGAACTTCCTGAGTTGTGTGTGTCTCCATTTCACTGGGTCAGTCGAACAGGCTGTTTTCCGGTCCATTTTCAGGAACTCTCGAAGTACCGAACAAGGGTAGGTACTTGGAAAGGCCTGGAGGAGTTGCTGAGCAGAACTTTTGATTAACTCACGCTGATGACACAGAGTTCCCGTGGGGTTGTATAAAGTCTTAAAAGCATTGAATTTAAGAATTTGGAAATAATGCCTTAAAAAGTCTTGAATTTTGACAACTGGGCCTTAAATTTGTGCTGTATGTAAATTCTCTTTACTGTATTTGTCCTCTACAGTTTCACTTGTCAACCACAATCATTTATAACGTAGCATAATTGAAGAGTGGTGGAACCAATCATTTCAAATTATAAAACACAAAATTGAGTAAAAACAGATGTAATGATTCCTTCATATTTACATCTTTGTGATGAATTTGAATGCATTGAAGCAATATTAACAGCTGAGAGTACAGTTATAAATGTGTCCAAATGAAAATCTGTTGTAATAAAACGATGAACAATGCCTCGAATCATATTTCCAAAAGATGCTCAACTATTAGAAATCAAGGTTTAATAAAACATTTGATCAATAATTCTTGTGCACATACTCACTTGTTCTGGTGTTTGGAGCCCTGGAGGTGTGCGTGGTACTGCTCGATGGAGTTGAGAACCACACTGCAGACGTTGCATGAGTAACTACTGCGCAGTCCTGGGAAGAAGGGGGGGAGCACAACCATGCAAGTGCAGGGGTTACTGTGAGGGCAAATTTCAGATGCAGAATTGATAAAAATTCTTCTAAGCCATTGTCTTAATTATCAGCATTCCTGCAGGAATGAGGCCAACACGAGCAACAATAAAAGTATGAACACAAGTTTTATTTTTATGTTTCTCTTCTTTTACTTTCAGCAGTGCAAAGTAATTTTCCTGATTAGAGTGCATCTGGAAAGAGATTTGATTTGACTGATCATTAGCAGAAAACCAGTTACAGTTTTAGATCATTAGATCAGTGTTTCCATCCTTCTAGTGCCTGAATGTGTGTTAGTGTGTGTGTGTGTGTGTGTGTGTGTGTGTGTGTGTGTGTGTGTGTGTGTGTGTGTGTGTGTGTGTGCGCAACCGATTCTGAAACGTGAACTCGAGCGAGGTTCAACAGAATAATCGGGACACGAAGAATCAGAAGAAAAATATCATTTTAGCGAACGTGCATGCTCGTCTTTGTGGTGGCTGTGAATGCGTGCTGCAGAAGGGGGCGTCTCAGACACAGATGTTAACTAATCACAGGGTTTGCAGGTGGTCGCGATGAACACCCCAAAAATAGACGAGTTAGGAGATGGGGGGGTTGGAGATAAGGACGGGAGGGGGGAGGGGGTTAACGTGATAGGAAAAGAGGAAATTTCCAAAGAAAAGTGAGATGTGCATACAGACACAGAAGGGAAGACAGATTGTGTTGTTGGAAGAGCAGCAACGGTTCTAAAATTGTCTGTTTCACAAGGGCAGAGGAGGTGGAGGGAACGCTCTCCGTGTCAATGAGGGTGAGGCAATCAGCAATGTGACATATTGTCTGTGTAACCCCGGTCAGAGATACAAGCAGGCGCTATTTATCGCTTCTTACAACTCCACAAAGGTCAGATCCTAGATTCAAAACATTCACAGTTCGCTTAGAACAACCCTCCACCCTGTTGCTGGATTATTTGTAGTTATTTTTAATATTTTAAGGACGAACGAACGACACGTGGCGTGTGCGGCGAGTGGAATTGCGTGTGTTCTTCTGTGTGTGTCTGCCCTTTACTCTGCTGTCATTACTGTCTTTGAGATTTATGCCTCGACGGTGTATTTCGTCACCTTTTGACCTTCTGTGGCGGTAATTGGTAAAGAACTGTGTCTGAAGATGAAGTTGTAATACAGTCAGGACTGGTGGGAGGTCATTTACACCGAACCAGAGCTGCATAATATGGCACATCGGCTTCATGTTGCTTCGAGAGTCGCCCGGGCCGTAGCGGGGTGATTAGGGACAAGAAGTCATTTAAGAAAGCCACGACCAAATTAACTACCCAGAGTAAACGCCGTCTTAGCATAAATGTTGATATTTTGCAGCTATTAGGAGTTAATCACTAAGTCTTTTTGTGCGACGAGGAGTCTAAAAAAAGAGACGATACATCTTCTGCCAGAGCGTCATTATTTCTGTTCTCTCTAAATGAAGGAGGGGGAGAGATCATTTGTAAACGAAAAGGATACTCTTCGTATTATTCCTTTGCCAAAGATGTCTATTTTGGTGTGCACAGTTACGTGTGTTGTCCGTGCACGTGCGTATGTGGGACAGCCTTTATAGATGTCACCTCCCCTCTGCCTGGCCCAGAATGCGCAATATGCTGCTGGTTTGTGCCAGCGCCAGTCGTCACCACACTCACACACACATACACGCACACACACAGATGAGCAAACAGACAATACGTTGCTCTGGCATCAAACCATGCTTTGCCCTAATCCATGTTAATTACATGCAGAGAAAGTGTGCATGCAACTCCAGTGACAGCGAGCATCCCGGGCTTGGGAATTTCTTTTTTTTTGTTCCATGAGCGGTATTTGTGAGGGTGTTTTAAGCCTCGTTAATTACACAAGCAGATATGCCAGGGTGAGCAAAAAAAAAAAGGTGGTGAGATGATGAGCTGAGGCAGTGGGTGTGGAGATGTGGCTGTCGTTGAATGCAAAGCGCTCTGGTGTTGCAGGCGCTCCATGATTGGAGTTAATGCTGATCTAAAAAGGAACGTGCTTCATTGAGAATGGCGGCGTGCATTCCTAATTAGCGGATTGTTGCAGAGTTTTATTGTTTTGTGTCGTACGTATGCATTCAGTTCATGTGAGTTAAATGCTTTGCTTTAGCTTAAAATGAAGATATTAGTGTTTTTTTCCATATGAATGCTTTGCCAAGCTCTTACTGCACCAGCCTTTACATGCCTCCAAGGAATTTCAGATACCAACACAGTGCATTTGGTTAAACAGCATTAAACCAAACACAATGGGCCGAACACTTAATTTCACCGTACAACCAAGGAAATCAAGTAACATATGGGTGAATGCACAGAGAAATTTCCTGTGCAGAAAATCCCAGTTTCTTGGATGTTCGTGCAGATTTTCCTACGAGAGTTTGTGCTGATTGCAACAAGAGAGTGGCGTGAGATCTCAAAGAGTAAAACTGAACCAAATTCAAAAAGAAAGTTATTGAAATGTGATCAGAACCAACATTCTGCAAATACTCAACCCTCCTAGGAAAACAGTTGAACGCTGATCCAGTCAGACTGGATCCAGGTGGAATTATACCAGCTAACTTTGAAGAGCTTAAAGGGAGGCTAATTAATTTTGCAGCTGACGGGAGAGTGAGTGGAAACGCCATCTGTTTAAAACAAAAGAATGGAGGCCATAGAGGGATCCTGGGCTGGGCTGGCTTTCTGAATCCAGCGTGGTCAGATTCACAGTCTGCCAGATTCGGTTTGATTTAAAATTCAATTAAAAACCACATTTCAGGGCACGCAGCCAGCTTTCTGATGAATAAATGATATCAGGTTTGCATTAACATACGAGACTGATGTGTGAGCAACGCTTCACACATCAACAGCATTAATATTGATCAGGATACTTAGAATCATGATGAAAACACGATTATTTTGAGCAATGGAAAACATTTGTGCAGTCTCGACCCTTAATGTAGTCACTGCTGAACTTTTCTGCTTCTGATGCACTACATCAATAAATTAATAAATAAATTTGATTGGTAAAATCATAACAAACACTGAGAGCCAATTTAACAGGTAAATTATTACAACAGTTATACAATTTTTGACTATGTTAGCTGTTTCTGTCACAATTTTGGTTAAAAAAAAAAGAACTCAATCAACATTGAACTTTGAGCAGCAGAGGGTCATGTAGGAGCTCCCCAACTTTGAGAACCATCTGTAATAAAATAAATTTTAGTTAAATGTAAAAAATAAAAACCTTTAAAAATAAACAAATCAAGCAGATTTTTCAGATGTCTTTAAAAGATGATTTTGTTGATGAATGCAGCAGCAGAATGTTGTAAAAATCCTCAGATATTGTGACGTTTAGCTGATGTTTATGTTGTCTGAACAGCTGTAGCTTCTGCATTATGCTTCAAATCATCTTAAATCTAAAGTGACAGAGTGCATCAGTGATGCATGTTTACCAGACTCGTGTTGGTGAATAAACAACAGAACTGTCACACCTGAGTGGCTTTACATCCAGCAGCTGGATGAGCATTTTAAGCGAGATGCAAATTGCTTTATCTGCCCATTAAAATTCTAAGTCGACAAACTAATTAGCGACAAATTTTTTGTTTCAGAAATGTAAAAAGTTTTTATTAGCATGTGGAAAATAGCAGTTCAGAGTGATATGGTGTGAATAATCAGCCTTAATGTGATAAACATTGTAAAACTTTCAGTTACCAGCAGCAGAAATCAGGGAGTTAGCAGTGCATGCTGAATATTTATTGCTATTTATCTCCACTACTGCTCTTCGTGAACTCTTGAGCTGCTGAACGCTCCACAAGAGTCACCAAGAAGCAGGTAATGTTTTCCTTTTTTGTCTGCCATGCTTGTGCATGTCTGTGTTGTAAATTTTGGTTAAAACAGCCTGATGGTGCAGTTTCCTGGGCTAAACTGATCAAAATAACTGAAACTACTTAAATAATGTACAGAAAAATACTCAAAAGGAGCTAAAAAGGGTTGAATATTTGTATACAGTATGTGAAGTTTTTTTTAATTAAATAGTCAATTTGAGACAGAAATAATGACATTTGTACGAATTTACTGTCAAATTACACATAAACACGCATGGTTATTGTAGAAGTTAAGCTCTTTATCTGTACTCCAAAACATTTGCTCCCAAGTATCAACAGTGTATCACGAGCGTGTTCAGAGGTGATGTGTGACTTAGTCACAGAGAGCCCTATCTCCGGGGATCAGGAGCCTTCTTCATCCTAGAACTCAGGCTCAGTCATCAATTACACAGTTTCCTCTCTCTGTTTTAGTAGCAAACCCTCTCAAGTCCTCACCATCGACACACACACACACACACACACACACACACACACACACACACACACACACACACACACACACACACACACACACACACACACACACACACACACACACACAACACACACACACACACACATACACACACACACACACACACACACACACACACACACACACACATACACGTGTGTGTGTGTGTGTGTGTGTGTGTGTACAATGGGTTTCCATAGGCTCCAATAACACATTTTCGAGGAAAAATGGGAGATGGCCACCACCGCCATTTTGACCGTGTCACAGGTAGAGCCCTGCACTGAAGCCCCAGGCCCTCGGGTCGGCCCGGCCCGACGGCCCGAGGGCCGGGCTTCAGGCCAACGACTGTGTGATTACCTCGAACACGGGCCGGGCCGGGCGCCTTTATTTTTAATGGAAATCATTTTAAAAAATTAAAACACTTAAACGCAGCAGTAGAGCCCTGCGCGGGACTGTTTTCTTCATCCCGCTCCTGCCCGCTCCTGCTGAATTTCTGACCATTACCGCCTGCAACCGCAACGTGTGTGTTACACTCCCGCCTGCACCTGCAGCGTACATGTCTACTCCCGCCCACAACCCCAAAACTCAGAGAAATTATTACCTCACAATAAAAGAGATGCATTGAGTT